TTCGATCCTCGCCTGCACCAATGAAATTGTTAATTGCAATTTTAAGTGCTGATTTACCACGTGCTCAGCGGTAAAGGAAAACATCGTGAGGAAACCTGCATGTTTGAGAAATAGGAAAAAAAATATTTCGAAGATATGTGAACTCCGCTAACACACATTGAGGCAGCGCGGCGGACATTTCCTTGCCCTAAAACCCTCTTAGAAATGAGTGGAGGTCTGTGCCGTAACAGTGGGCCGTATATAGGCTGTAACTTTAAGTAAATATAATTCTGTGTCAAATGAAAAAAATATAACAAATAAAGAATCAAACCTAATATGTAAGTCATTGCCACCACTATAAGCCGTTAAATATTATCATATTAAGACCGAAGCCTACAATGTGAACGCAACACCGCTCACATTTTCTGTATGCATCTGACTAAGTCCCTCTTGGCCTACTTAAACTGCTTCATTGCAAATGTGGAACAGCACGTAAGTCTTGTACGAGCGTTATATAAAACACCTTTGGAACTTTAATCGTCTTACAGATAATTCAATGCACCTGTTAGCTAACAAAAGTGCTGTTTATAATTGGATCTTTGAATCAAAATCATCATTACAGGTTTTCAGTCCACTGCTAAACATATGTCATAAATTGCAGCATAGAGGAGATATCTAACATTGTGATCCCATGCTTGGCATCCGGGTAGACAACCGAATTTTTGGAACGCAGTTCCTTATGGGGGATAGTCGAGAAAAAGTGTAAGATTTTTGTTACCAGTCACGACTCCCTTTCTATAGTGCGAGCGAGATGGAATAATATCCATCTGTCTCACACTTTTTCTTATCTTTCCATGAAAGAAATGTTATTTTTTTACGTGGTAGAGCCATGCTGCAGCTATATTAGTAGTATAGTTGTAGCACGATGTATTTGTATTTGTTAATCAATAATATAATACGTTTATCAATAATAATATACTACGAAAGGAACTTCCTACCGAGTGTTCCACGGCACTCACGCATGTTTTATTATTTTGTTTCTTTTCTCTCTGTCGTCTCTTACAGAACCCACGAGATGACATGGTATAGTATTCTCTTACGCTGCCACTGCATATGCCTCGTTGGTGTAGTGGTTGTAGTACGACTGTTGATCATGAGGTCCCGGGTTCGAATCCCGGATCGGGCCAAAATACAATTATTGAGTTTTTCCATCATGAAATTCTCAGTAGCTGCCCGATGTCAGGAAGTTGGCGGTGTCTCAACCACGTGCCTCAGAAAACACATATACCCGTTGGTTCTGCATCTGATTTTTCTCCGGTCGTGTCGGCTTACCGTCCCATCGGACTATGAGAGTGAGGGAATAGAAAGTGCACCTGTGCTTGCGCATACACTTGGCCACTATAATCCTGTCCTGCACCGATGGCTAGTCTCCGTTAAGACTGGCCGTTGTGAACGAAATTCGGTCTTGAGGACATTATTATTACATGTTTCAAATCCTTCTTGCTTTAATTAAACTTCTTTATTTCAAATGTGGCACAGCTAAAAGAAATGTGGTACAATTTTAAATACTTGGGATGACACAACTTTATCCGTCTTACTGCATTTGTAAGCTAAATAAAACTGTTTAAATGAGATGGTAATTAAAATTTTATTATTATGATATTTTGATTGTATGAGTGGTCGGTGTATCAGGGTGTTACGCGAGTCCTGGGTTCGATGTAGCACTCGATATTTTAGTAATAAATATACTAAAATATTAGTACATTACTAATATTTACTATTAGTTATAACTAATAATCTTTCTAAATTCTAATAAGCACGTGTCAACCCCTACTTCTACTAACGAAATTATACCAAAACACAATTGTACTACAGATAGATTGCTTGTATCGCCAATTCAATACTGACTCGGTCGCTTTTTTTTCGCGGTCTATACCGGCCTTATATAGGGCCTCAGATAGTTTCCAGAACCTTTTCCTAAAGAAACTTCTAGAATATTCGAGTACATATCGGTCCCGACTGGCTAGGTGTCGATAGTTCTAGAAAATTCTTCCATGGAAATTTCTAGAATGTTCTTGACTCTCCTAGTTCTGCCACTCGATACTAGGTGGCGCTAGTAATAACTAGTGTCGCCATGTACCATGTATTAATCGTGGCGTGTAACATTATCATCCTGTGGGAATCAGTTCGCCCCAAAGCTCCTTTAAGAATTGAACGCGCCACGTCAAGAGCGTTAAGTCGTTCCTGTGAGAGTTTATTGTCATAGTTGAGGGTGTAGATGTATTAGCCAGTATCAGCTCGATCGCGGTGTTTGACCGACGCGTGCCCATGCTGACAGTTCCTGACGCTGAATTGTCTCGAGCATCCTCCTCTGGCCCACCGCCATCGCTTTGGCAAAGATTGCGGATACCATTATATGTGCATTCATATCCTCCAGAATATACACGTCCAGCGACGAAAAGCAAGTTAGGATTACCACCAATCCGTTTGGCCATTCTCGCTGGACGTTGTAGATCTTGTTCCTACAGTATCGAATAGCTAGCCTTGTTTTCACAGAGGCGCTTCCTATTAGGCTACGGAGCGTGTAATCCCAGCATGGAGGCAGTGCACCTCCCCCCCAGTAGTCTGTGCATCACACGCGCTACCCTTTCCATCCGGGGGACTAGGCACTCGAAGTGTTTTCGGAGCCCTGGCGACTGTCAAGGGTGAGACCGAGGTATTTCATATATCCCCTCACCCTACCCAAGGCCCACCTACTCGATCGCAAGAGTTGAGTGGCTCCCTGCTTCTTGGGATTCGTGGAACCATAACGCCTCGGTCTTATGAGGTGCCATTTCCAAATCCAACTGATGGATTTTAGCGACAAGATTTCCAACCCAAACTCGGCGTGTTTCTTAGTCCTCTAGAAGGTGACCTCAAACGGCGATTACTGCGGAACCCTACGCTGTACATCCTTCCGGATTCTTCTACCGTCTTGTCCCACGTAAGATGTAACTGTCGTGTAAGTAGTCCCAAATAACGCCATGCAGGTAGAAAGGCAATTGATGATGTGCCAGTGCCCCCTTTCTGCGTCCCAGGTCGAACTTATCGCCAATGCAACGCGACCCTGGGTCACCGATCTAGTGCCGCCCTATACTACACTTACCGGTACGAGCTGAAGTAGCAATGGGTCGGCCTTATAGCCCGAAGAACCTACAATCTTACTGCTTCAACATACAATTTTTTTTACGTGACTAATCGTCTTAAAAAATTTATGTTGAGTGTTCCCCCAGGCTAGGTTTTATTTATTACTGGCGGTCCGTCACGGCTTCGCACGGGTGATTTTTGGATCTCAACAACGGCGCCACCTACCGGGTCCAATTGTGAATCAAAACCAACCAATCACCCACTCAAGCACACACAAAATATTTAATAAAAATTTGTTGAGCCATTTTTGAGCTTTTACGAGATTACCTTTTAGATATTGTTTTTTTTATAGGAAAAGGGTGACAAACGAGCACACAGTCCACGTGATGGTAAGTGGTTGCTGTGGCCCATAGACACCGACATCTTCAATTAAGAATTAAAATGCAGATGCGTTGTCACCCGTGAGGACTAAGATGGAATGCCTCGTTTCCAGTAAAAAGGGTCTCCGGTTCTCTAAACTCACCAATCGAAACACAGCAGCGTTAAACTGCTCTTTTACGCTGGTATTTTGTGAAAGCGTGATCTTTCCCCGGTCGAGCCGACCCATTCGGACTACAACCATAATATAGTTGCAGCATGGCTCTACCACGTATTGTGGCGGCGCTTTACACACTGCATAAAAACAAACATGCAGATCCAGAACAATTTTTACATTCCTGTACATGTTCCGTGCGGGATTCGAACCCGCAGCGCTGCAGCGCCGCCACCAAACGCTTGGTCACTGCACTACCGTCAATGTCGCTGTATTCTTATCTTCTCCCAGCCTCAGCGCATAAGTACATCGGATCCGGGATTAGGTTGAATAAGATGCCTTTGTTTTTTTCGCATATTATATGCATTTCTGTGTCATTTATTATATCGGTTATTCGTCATAGATTTCTATATTACAAACGGTCATAAGTAACGGTAAACGGTGATCGGACACCGAAAAAGTGTCATAATCATCATAACTCATTTAAAGTATAAAAAGAAATTTGATAAAAATATTTTAATCAATCCCAATCTTTTTATGTTATATTGAATCTTTATATAATCTCATTTCTTGTTTACATTAACTTTCATGAATGTTTAGATTTTACCGCTTTAAAGTAAACAGTTAATATTAGTTGAATTCTGATGTCTGTCCGCAATAATATTTACCAGAAAGAATTTAAACTTTAGAAAAAATCTTTAAAGATAAGACTCGCGAAATTTCGTTGGCGAATATTGATCAATGTCGGGTGTGAGGGAGGCGGCGCGGCTGCGCCAGCCGGCGCCGCGTCGCCTGTCCCGGCACCCTGTCACCCGTAATAGCAGTCCTCTCACCACCAACCGAATGCCTCCGCCGAATTAACTTTGTTTGCGTATAGTTACGTTGGCACATCACTCGACAAAAATAACACCTGTCACCATGTGACAACTCGATCGGAACACGCGACAAGTGTGAACATACATATTCGTATTTACCTACCAGTTTAGCTGAGAATTCGTGTGGTACAAACGGTCGTTCCCTTGCAAAATTTATACGAAATCCAAAAACAATAAAGGCGCAATGAGGATTCATGACAGACGTATTGCGATCGTGCGACTACGTCAGTAACTGGAATAGATTCACATATTAGCGGGCGTGAAATTAAAGGATAAACAAATGAAGTCTGGAGCGGGCCGCATAATAATGGAACAGCAGTCGGCGTCAGGAGGTGTCATGCGGCAGACACGGGCGGCGTGACCCTTCGGAGCGGGCCGGCCACGGCGCATCGGTCTAACTGGGGCATATCGATAAGCGCGCCCTACTTACCCGGTTTTGTGGCGACTGTGACGACGGCGGCGGTGCATTTCGGGTGGTCGTTACGAAGATGTCGGGCAAGTCGTGCGCTTCGGGCAGCGTCCGCTCGTGCGCGGGTTCCGTGCGGCTGGGCACGGCCAGCGGCCACGAGGTCGTGCTAGACGCGCTCTACGAGCGAAAGCGCGACAAGAAGAGCGTCCGAGTGCTCACCGTCATCATTTACGTGTTCTCTGTGTCACTCGCAGCGATCATGCTCTCGCTGTACTACGTGTTCTTCTGGGAGCCCAAGGACGCGCAGTACGCGCAACGCAAGGTGTCTCATACTGTCACGCAGCAAACCAGCACTACACCAATGCCTACATGCTTAGTACCCGACACTGGTAGGTCACACCACCGACACGCTTCTCTCTTCTTTCAATTTAACTGTATCTTAGACTTTACAGCGATAACAATAATAATACTTACAACTTAGTAATGTTCGCATCTTTATGTTGATGGATGTACTTAGTTAAAAGCTTTTGTTTTGCATTTAGCTCACTAATAACTAACAGTAGAAACGTGCATGCAATGAGTTAAGATGAAGTACATAACATGAATGAATAACGTAAATAGTCTTAAACATCTGATTCAGTGAGAAACAATCTAGTTGCTTCATTCAATACTTTATTATATCCGATATAAATTATACTTCCACCATTTGAAGCTTTCCTAGCACATATCTATCAGCACATACTTGAACAGGTCGGGTGTCGCGCTTTGTGCAGCACACATTTATATCCAAGTACTAAATTAAAAGATAAGAAAAGAGATACCTATTGTGCATAGGTAGCACAAAACCAACTACACGCGAAGCACAGCGTCAAAATCTCAAAAATAGAATAAAATCTCATGTAATTCACAGACGACTGAACAGCCTAGTAATTAGAATATGTGGATACTATATTACCGGCCTTGGGTTGGTTTTGGTTTTCGGATTAGGTTGCTTTATGGTTCCCCGCGTGTTTCTGGCACAGCATCCAAACTTACCTTTGATTTCATGGTAGCGAATAAACTGCCTCAGTGTAAATAGTATACTAATAGTAATAATAAACAGAAATACATATGTGACACTAATATTTCCTACGTAGCTGGTAGTTTCTGTCTAAGAGTTTTAATCTGAAATGATATCTAATCACATCATCATCATCATCGGCCCATCACAAGTCCACTTCTAAACACAAGCCTCCTCTGTAGATTGCCTAATAATAAATAGATTTTGCCATAGTTGCCACACGTGTCCGTCCCCTGTTTCACTTTACCTCTGTCGCCTCTTACGACAACCATGGGACGTATAGAGAGTGTGGATGAGTGAGTGATGTGAGAGAGAGTTTACGCCACACCGCCATTACACGGTATAATTTTATATTTTCCTTTATGAATTATCGCAATATATACTTAATTATAGTGCTATCTCTACTTCTTTCATGAAGAACTTGTTTTAAGTTAGGTACGTTATATACAAAACTATTTCAAAATTCATTTTTTTATTCGTTACTTTTTACTCTCAGCTTTTAGCTAGGTTGTTTTATACTTAGTGAAACCTAGAAATAGTCATAATATATAATAGCACATACTTCCCTCCGGCCTCTATTCAGGCGAACAAAGTTCACTCGAAACACATAGAAAGTTTTCTTGTATTTACGCGAATACTACACATTGAATAAAACTACTTTTACGGATTATATCACGTTTAATTATCTTCAATGTGTAGTGTTCGCGTAAATATAAGAAATCATTATGTAAACCAGTACGGACTGGAAATAGCGACAAGATAATTAAACACGATATAATCTGTAAAAGTAGTTTTATTCAATTTCAGCGAAAGGTTAAAAAGAGTTGCCTTTTTTCGATTGCCTAATGTCAAGTATAAAACTTTTTTATGGCGGGAAGTAAAAAACCTTAGGGTAAAAAATAGGACCCACATTCGCAACGTAGCAAGCTTCTCTCAGAGGAGAGTTATGCGCGCAAACGCGTAGCTGGAGCAATCCTGCCACAATTCGAAGCCTCCCAAGTCAAGTCAAATAACCCTCAGAGTTTCTTCTCAACGTTTCAGATAAACAATTCAAACTTGTATAGATGTGTAGATTACAATAGTAATAGTAAAAATATAAAGTATTTTTCTGTGTATTTTTTTAATCGAATGAAATACGTAGGTCACTCAATAAGTTTTGAGATGCTCGAAATTTAAAAATGGAATGCACCCGTGTTACATGTTTCTAAAAAGCAAATTTATTTAAAAATAGCCAATAGCTCAATATTAAAAAAAAAACAAAGTTCTATTAATTTTCCTGCAACGCTTCCCGCGCTTTTCATTTAAAGCGATGGATCTTGACCGTGAACATTTGCGCGCTATGATATATTATGATTTTAAATTTAGTTTAACCGAACAATTAAGTTTACAACGGTTACAATCAGCATTAGGGGACTCAGCTCCATCACGCGCAACAATTTTTAGGTGGTTTGCTGAATTCAAAAAGGGTAAAATTAATCTTAAAGATGACCAAAGAACCGGGGCCCCGCAAACAGCAGTAACAGCCGAAAATGTATGGACTTCTGAAATGTTGGTGCGAGAAGACCCACGAATCGCATATATGGACATCGAAAAGATTGTAGGCATTAGTTCGGGGAGCATTCATACCATCCTACATCAACATCTTGGAGTGAGAAAACTTTGATGTGGATGGATCCCTCGTTTGCTCTTCAAAAGCGAAAAACAGACTCGTGTGGATTTCATGACACCAAGCGCCTACGTTTTGAAAACGGAGCATCTAGGCGTGTTTCAGAAATCATTACTGGTGACGAGACATGGATCTATCAATATGATCCGGAAAATAAAAGGCAATCATCGGTTTGGGTCTACTCAGAAGGACAGTTACCGACAAAACTGCAAAGACCTCGCAACTTCGGCAAAAAAATGGTGGCTAGTTTTTTTCGCGGAGCGGACATTTGTCGACTTCAATGCTGGCAAATTGTCGGTCAGTCAACTCTGAATGTTGCATTTGCGTTACCCAAAACTTTTCAAGCTGTGCGAGAGGGAATACCAAAGACCGGGCTTCAGGGAATCATGCTGCATCACGATAACGTCTCTTCACATACTTCCCTTAACATAAAAGCATTTATTGAGGAATCTGGTGTTGAAACTCTAAGTCACCCACCCTACAACCCTGACTTAGCTCCTTGTGATTTCTTTTTGTTCCCAAGAGTGAAAGTAAAAATAAAAGGCAAGTTTTTTTCAAGCGCCGAAGAAGCCGTGGCTGCCTACGAAGAAGCGATTTCCGACCTGTCAGATCAAGACTGGCAAAGGTGTTTTCAGTTTCAGAGCGGGTTCGAATCCCGCACATGTTCCGGGTCTGGATGTTTGTCCTTGTGAAATTTGTGTTTGTAAACTGCCTCCACGATACAGAAGAAAATCCCAGTGTGGGGGTAACGTTTTAAAAAAAAAGAGTTGGTTTAGGCGAATGGAACTTTGTGTAGAGCATGATGGAGAATATTTTGAAAAGATATAAAATAAAAATTAATAGTATCTAGAATACTTTTTGTATATATCAAAACTTATTGAGTGACCTACGTATCTACAAAGTATTAAAAAAAGTCGCTTCCCGCCGTCTGTACGCCTAGATCTTTTAAACTACGCATAACGGATTTTGATGCAGTTTTCATCAGTAGACAGAATGATTCAAAAGGAATTTGTTGAGATACTTGTAGAAGAAAGTTTATATGTATAATACATGCCTATTATCTATACATCTATACAAATAAATAAAATTGAAGTGTCTGTTTGTAATGTCAAAATTACAGATTTTTACTAATTGCATATGAAAGTATATACGGTACTTATAACAAAAACACAATTTTTAAAATTTTTGTCTGTCTGTCTGTCTGTCTGTTTGTTCCGGCTAATCTCCGAAACGGCTGAACCGATTTTGACGGGGCTTTCACTGGTAGATAGCCGATTTCATAAGGAGTAACTTAGGCTACTTTTATTTTAGAAAAATAATTAGGGTTCCGCGCAAAAACATAAAAACTCTAACACGCGAGCGAAGTCGCGGGGAACAGCTAGTATATTATATAATTCTTCTGTCCGTGTTTATGTCACAGAACTCCTCATAAACGGCTGGACCGATTTTGATGAAATTTTGTGCGTGTTGTCTATTAAGTTGATTAGAGAACGGTTTAGATTCACAATTGGATCCGGTAGGTGGCGTTGTTGTCGAGATCCAGAAATCAACCGAGCTTAGCCTGGGCGAATCTCTAGTATATTGATATTCTCACCAGCTTACAGCGATTTCGGTCAGTTACTGAGGAGTTTACTCAAATAAACTGTGAAACTATTTTATAAATGCATAAGTGTGCAATCTTAATATATGTCATTAAATCCCACAGACTTATAATAGAGAACAGCATTACCATTGCCTATTGTGTTAAGAATGAGCAAATCTTCCAGGGCTGCAAACCTTTTGTTTCGTTTCTGAAACGGTCTATATCCAGCTGTAGCTTTGTAGTGGCTGATAAAGAGGAAGAAGTATAGAATTGAATAGAATAGAATAATTTTTATTCAATATAAATTACATCGCGTGTGAAACACGAGTGTGAAAATAAGGAAAGAAATATAGATTACATGTAATTCTTATTGAAAGTCATTTTATACTTTACCGCTGGTTCGGAAAAAAACTTCTGCCTAGGAAGAACCAGCAAGAAACCCAGCGGGATTTAAAAAAAAAAAGTAATTTATATAAACTATATTTACAAAATTTATTTTAGAAACAGCTTGGTAGCGACTAATGAGGTGGTCGCTACCGCAGGTGTTATTATCAACCATGTGTTCATTTATTTTATAATAACCCTTTTTATTCAGTTTTTGTTTAATATTTAAACTTAGTAATAGAGAACCTTGTACATTTTCTTGGACTTGGTTGTTAAAGTGGGACTTTGTTGTAAAAAGTAAAATTTATTATGTCATATTATACACTAAACTAATTATTCGTTTTATCCATTAACAGTAGCTGCTAAACTTGCCAAGGAAAAAGAAAAAAAGGATTCGTTAAAATAATAATAAACTACACATTAAATAGATAGACAGCCTTAAATAGATAGAGGAAAAAGCTTTTCGTATATTTTACGTGCACGAAATTTTAATCGAGTCTCTTTGGTTTGGTTATATTGTTTGTACTCCTAGGTCTGGCTAGTTTTGATACCATTGTAACTAGACCTGGCTATAAATAATGTCACGATTTAAAATGCTCTTTTTTTCTTTTTATTCTAATTTCAAATTTGAAAAACGTTTATTATGTAAGTAGTGTTTTGACCTCTCGGTAGAAAGTAATATATATATATAATAAGT